AAAAAAAAAAAAAAAAAAAAAAAAAAAAAGGTTAACGAGCTACCTGTCCATTTTAAAAAGTTGACACTTAGATTCCAGCTACTTGGGAGGCCAAGGCAGGAGGGTCACATATTCAAGGCCAGTCTGGGCAATTAAGCAATAATTTATCTCAAAGTAAAATAAAAAGGGCTGGGAATGTAGCCCAGTGGTAGCACCCCTGGATTCAATCTCCAGTACTAACTTTTGTTCTTTTTAATTAATTTCTTTCCCATCCTTGTGTTTCCCATTCTTTCCTCTCCCTTTCCCTCTCTCCTTCCTCCTTTCCTTCTTCTTTGTTCCTTGTGTGAGACCAGGGATGTAACCCAGAACCTCATTCAGGCAAGGCAAGCAGTCTACCACTGATCTACATCCCCAGCCCCAGAAGTTAATTTTTTGGCAAGTGATTATTATTATTTTTTTGTACTGGGGATCAAACTCGGGACCTTGAGCTTGTGAGGCAAGCGGCAGCACCACTGAGCTAAATCCCTGGCCTATGAAGTAATTTTGTGAAAAGGATTTTTGTTTTTGTTTTTGTTTTTTTGGTACCTGGGATCGAACTTGGGTCCTTGCGCTTGCGAGGCAGGCGGTGGAACCACTGAGCTAAATCTCCGGCCTGAAAAGGATTTTTAATAAACTGACAAAATTCTTTTCTTTTCTTTTTTTGGTACTGGGATCAAACTTAGGACCTGGCGCTTTTGAGGCAGGCACAGTGTCCCTGAACTAAATCTGTGGCTGGCCAACAAATTTCTAATGAGAATGATCAAATGGGAAAGACAGAGTGAACAAAGAAGATGCAAGTACCCAATATTAGGAATAAAAATGAATCAAGAATACAACCCACAAATTGGAAAAAGATATTTTCCATGATGCAAGTACAAAGATTTCCTAAGCACAGCAACTAAAGGTTAACTGATCCAATATAAACTGGCAAAGGTATCGGAAACATTTGAAAAAGTGTTCAACCCATTAGAAATCAGAAAGTGTTAGTCCCTCAAGATTCACAAAATTAAGCCAGGTATGATGACATACACTGGTAATCCTAGCACTGGTGAGGCAGGACTGTTTTGAGTTCAAAGCCAGCCTGGGCTACATCATGAGACTGTCTCAAAAATAAAAAAAAGATTTGCAAAAGCAAAATGTTAGACAATACTAAGTATAAAAGTGTATAGAGTGGTAAATACTGGAAAGCTGGTTGGAATCTTTGGAAACCAGTTTGGTACTATACACTGAACTTAAAAGTGTGCATGTCTCACGACTCAGGAATGTATTTCAGAGAAAGAACTCTCAGGTAAGAATGTTTATTTAGTATCTTTTTAGTGAGACAGGATTTCACTATGTAGACCTGGCTGGGTTTGAACCCTTGGCAATCCTCCTGTGTGCTCAGATTACAGGCATGTGCCATGGTGCCTGGCTATTTTGGATTTATTTTGAGACAGTCTCTCTAAGCCACTAAATTGTCCAGGCTTTGCTTGAGCTTGAGATTCTCCTGCCTCAGCCTCCTGAGCGTTAGTTAGGACTATAGGTGTGCACCACCACACCCCATTCACCTTTTATTTTTGTGGCTCTATTTTGAATTTATTCAGACAATGGGATGTATTATATAATTTACATTCTAGTAACTAAAAAGTGTTGCTCCCAGCAGACGCAGACCTGAGGACCCCGCCGGGCACTGGCTGCAGCAAGGCGGCCATGCTGGACTCCCGGCCCACCGTTCCCACTGTTGGGCAGCAGCTGAACCCGGAAGTGACAGCCAGGAAGTTCTGGAGAGGCCTCAGCCTGATCCGCGTGCTGTGGTGCCTGCTCCCGCAGACGGGCTACGTGCACCCGGATGAGTTCTTCCAGTCGCCGGAGGTCATGGCAGGTAACTCCGCACGCGCTGCCGGGGCGGGAGCTGCAGTGGGAAAGCCACGCGTGAACACGTGCAGAGAACCAGGACTCCCGGGATGAGGGCTTGGAGGCGGGGACTTCGCACCAGGCTCCTTGGTGTTTTCCTGCTGGGACCCACGGTCATCCAGATGGAAGCGGGGCTGGCACTCCCCGCCGAGCGCTTCTAGCTGGGCTTTCGCGGGCGCTTGGGAAGCCGGCACACAGATGCCCTGTGATGAAGCTTTTCCACTTAGGTTCAAAGGAGGGAGGGACCCAGAGACAGGCGCCCAAAGTGAGTGCGGAGACTGACTGCTGGGCACTGGGAGGCACCCGCGGTGGGGGCTTTCAGATGCTTTGGGCACGGGCTTCTTCCTTGGTGCAAGGTGGCTGCTTGCGCTCCAGACTCAAGTCTCAAATTGTCTTTCCAGCCAACGGAACACTAGATAGGGTCCACTCCTACTCCTTCAGGGTCACATTTTGCAAGTCACAGGCTTTTTGCCCATCCCACTGGACGGAATGTATTACATAATCACACCTGATTGCATAATCTTAATTACAAAGGAAGCTGAGAAATAGTGTTTATATTTTCCAAATACCCAGCTAAAGAGACTAAGGACAAAGGGAGGAACAGCATATGGAAGGCCTCCAACCATCTCTGCCGGGAGCTCAATAGTTTGATTTGGTTTTTAAGTTGAAAAGTTCTTTTCCCTACACGTTTTGTGTTTGGTTTTTGTTTTCTGAGACTGGGTCTTGCTATGTATCCCAGGCTGGCCTTGAACTCTTAATGATTCTCCTGCCGCAGCCTCCCAAGTGCTGGGACTACAGGTGTGCGCCACCGTGCCTGGCTGGTAGTTTTACTAGAAACATTCAGTACTGGAAAGAAAATTAAAGTCTCATTTGGTCGTAAGCCATTCTCACCCCTGTCCTGAGTCACAATCATTGTCGCCGAGTAGGGTTTAGACTTTGACTTGAGGACCCTGAAATTCTGCGAGGAGCAAAGCCTCCCTGGTTCCTTACAAGGTTCTGCCACTCTGTCCCCTCCGTAGAGAACCTTAACCTCCCAAGCATGAGGAACCAGCACAAGCCGAGCAGCTTATCCCAGCACACGTGTAGCCTCAGTTCTACAGTTTAGAAGTCTTGCGTGTTCTCTCAACTCAGGGAATACCAAGGTTGAAATCAAGGTGTAAACTGGGTGAGATGGCACACGCCTGTAATCCCAGGAGGCTGAGGCAGGAGGATCGTGGTAAGTTTGAGGTCAGCCTGGGCTACCCAGTGAATTTAAGGCCAGCCTGAACTACATAGCAAGAGCCTGTCTCAAAGCAAAACACAAAACAAAAACAAGAATAGAAATCAAGGAATGGGCAGGGCTGAGTCTGTGTCTGGAAACCCTGGTGGAAAAACCCACTGGCAAAATAACTGTTTAGGCAGAATTTAGGGCACTTCAACTAGGGGACCATGACTCTTACTTCCTTGCCATCAGCTTCCGGGGGTCACTCACATCCCTGCCAGCAGCCTGTCCACTGTTAAGCTCAGGGCAGACACAAATCCCTCTCATGCTGGAGATGGGGCTGGTAAAGAGCTGGTGACATGAGGTCGGCCTGGGGGCTAGGACGCAAGAGGATTAAATCACGGGCATGGGATCCCCTGGTATCCAGGCCAGGGATTACACAGGCTCCGCCTACCACACCGAGCCTGGCGCTGGCTCACCTGCCTCTCTGCTCTCTGCAGAGGACATCCTGGGCGTGCAGGCCACGCGGCCCTGGGAGTTCTACGCCAGCAGCTCCTGCCGCACTGCGGTCTTCCCCCTGCTGACTTCCGGCTCTGCCTTCTGGGTACTCCGGCTCTGGGAGGAGCTGGGGCCGTGGCCGGGCCACGTGAGTGGCTACGCACTGTTGGTAGGACCCCGGCTCCTCCTCACAGCCCTCTCCTTTGCCCTGGACCGGGCCGTGTTCCACCTGGCCCCGCTGTGGGGCGCAGATCGCTGGCGCGCCCTGGCCCTGCTGTCCGGGTCCTACGTCACCCTGGTGTTCTACACCAGGACCTTCTCCAATGCCATCGAGGGGCTTCTCTTCACATGGCTGTTGGTGCTCGTGTCCCCTCACCTGGCATGGTGCCTCACGCCCAAGAAACCTGCCCCAGACCCGTGGTGGCACAGCTGGCTTCTTGGGGCTGTGCTGGCTGCTGGCTTCTTCAACCGGCCCACATTCCTGGCCTTTGCACTGGTCCCCCTTCTCCTCTGGGGCCAGCGTGGAGCCAGGCAGCCCAGCTTTAAGTCCCTGGCCCAGGAGGGCCTGGCGCTACTCCCTGGGGCAGCCCTCGCCACAGGAGGCTTTGTGGCTGTGGACAGCTGGTACTTCTCCAGCCTCTCCAGGTCTAGCAGCCTGGTCTTCACACCTGCCAACTTCCTGCGCTACAACCTGGATCCCCAAAACCTTGCCAGGCACGGCACACACGCACGGCTCACCCACCTGGCCATCAATGGCTTCCTGCTCTTCGGCATGCTGCACGCCCAGGCACTGCAGGCCGTGTGGCAGCAGCTGCAAGTGGCCCTCCGGGTATGGGCACAGACAGGCCTTGTGAGGGTGCCGGGTACCCGGACCTTGCTGTCCAACCCCCACACATCCCTCCTTCTCCTCTACTTCGTGCCCCTGGCCCTGCTGTCTGCCTTCAGTCACCAGGAGGCTCGGTTCCTCATCCCCCTCCTCATCCCCCTAGTCCTGCTATGCAGCCCAAGGACCCACCCTGTGCCCTGGAAGGGCACCCTGGTCCTCTTCAATGTCCTGGGAGCCCTCTTCTTCGGCTGCCTGCATCAGGGAGGCCTGGTGCCCGGCCTGAGGGTCCTCGAGCAGGTGGTCCATGCCCCCGTGCGCCCCGGCCTGCCGACCCACTACACACTTGTCTTCACTCGCACCTACATGCCGCCCCAGCACCTCCTGCACCTCCCGGGCCTCCAGTCACCCGTGGAGGTGGTGGACATGGGTGGGACTGAGGACTGGGTCCTGTGCCAAGCCGTGAAGAACTTCACCAGACAGCCCGCTTGCCAGGTGGCTGGTGGGCCGTGGCTCTGCCGCCTCTTTGTGGTGATGCCCGGGACCACCAGGCACGTCATGGAGAAGTGCCGCTTCCCCCTCAAGAACGAGACGCTCGTGTTTCCCCACCTGACCCTGGAGGACCCACCAGGCCTGTCCTCCCTGCTGAGTGGGGATTGGAGGGACCACCTTAGCTTGCATATCATGGAGCTGGAGGAGACGCCTGATGGTACATAGCAGTCACTGCCCAAGGCGTGGCCGCAGAAGGGCCCCTCCAGCTGGGCTGGACGTGGGACAGGGCCCTGGTCCCCTGCATTCCCACTGCCTTCTCTCCCAGGCATGGCTATTGGTTGTTTTGCCTTCTGGGTGAGCCCATGCTCTTCTCAGACACCACAGACCAGACCTGTGACAGTCCTGATGCTAAGGTCCCCGAAGAACCCTGATGTAACCAATGGCACTTAATGTCTGTCCCTAACCTATTGCTTCCAGATACTGTTAATGTGTTAAATATATAGTAGCAACTGGTTGTGAAAAAAAGTCAATAAACTGCTGATGACATTCCTGAGTGATCTCCCATGATCTCACAAGTCTTGCTTCAGTGAAAATCCTTTGGCTTCCTAGAGCCAGTTTGGCCTTGTAGGCACCTGGGAGGGTGTGGTAGAGAACAGAGGGCTCTGATTCAGGGGACACAGGTTCTAGTCCTCGCTCTGCCACTGACTAATCTAGAGAAAGACCCTTTACCAGCCCACCTGCCTCCCAATCTGTACCCAGCACGAAGCAGCTGTGAGGTGTCTGCCAGCTAACACTGTGCCATCCTGGGGTCCACAGCACATGTCCCCCTGGCTCCACAGGCATGTCTCTCACAAATCTCTTTCCCCACAGAAGTAAGGTATTTAATGGCACCTTGGTATCTGCTGTCCCAGTTTGGTTTTCACCAAAACAAGTCACTCTGGAAGACTCACCACTCTCTTCCACTCCTGTGGTGGTGGAAAACTCTCCAGCCATTTCTGCCCCTTGTCCTTAAGAATCATTCTCACAGCTGGGCATGGTGGTGCAGCCCTATAATGCCAGCACTCTGGGAGGTCAAGGCAGGAGACTGGAAGTTTAAGCTCAGCCTGGGCAACTTAGCAATTTAGTGGGACTTTGCTTCAAAAATAAAAAAGGCCAGAGATGTGGCTCCATTTGAAGGCCCTAGGGTCAATTCCCAGTACCCACCGCTTCCCACAAATAAAGGCTCTCCTAGCCAGGCATGGTGGCACATGCCTGTAATCCCAGCACTCAGAACTTGGGGGGCTCAAGTTTGAGGGCAGCCTGGCCTAACCAGTGAGTTCAAGACACGCAAGACCCTGCCTCAAAAAAAAAAAAAAAAAAAAGGCTCTCCCAAAGATTTGGGGCATGGCTTTGTGGTAGAGAACCTGGTTACTGTTTAGCTTGTTTGCAGTTCTGGGTTCAATCCTCAGCACCAAAAAGGGAAACACAGTCTCAGCAAAAGGAACCCAGCTGTTCTTTCTACTCAGTTACACTATGTGTCTTAGGCCCTTTCAATCTGCCCTAGTGGGACCCTTGAACACACAATGCTCAGTCAGCATCAGTAACCAGCACAAAAGCTTTGCCTGTGAATTCGAGCTTTCTAGGTTGCATGATTAACTGTACAGCCTACATGGAGATCATCAGAAATCTCTCCAGGATCCTCAGCTGACAGAGCATTTTTGTGTGAAATGGATTTCCCAGCCATGGGTCCAACTATCTGACCAGTCTCTGCTCCATTATAGAGAGCACTCACCGCCTGCTGGTGAGGAAGGTGGTCCCTGGGCAGCAGTGAAAATGCTACCTGCAGAAAGCTGTGACTCCTACCCTGAAGTCAAATGCCTGCGCTCACACCCTGCTCTGTAAGATTTGGACAACTCAAGAAGTGACCTCCCTTTCCCCTCCGAGTGACTGTAAAAAGTGACAAGCCACAGAAAGGCAATTAGCAAGAGTCCGCGCGAAAACCGGCCTCCAGTATGTGAATTACTCTTACCATGGCCCTGCAGCCCCGAAATTCCCAACCCACCTCGTCTGAGAAGCACCACACTCATGCCCATGACTCAGCTCACAATTTAATCAGAGAACGGCAGGGTGTCTTTTCGTCCTTTTTCCCTGGACTCAGTGTCCCGGTGCGGGCACAACGGCCTCTACCAAGAGTCGGAGTCCCACCTGCAGGGAAGCAGGCTCTTTCCGGCTGTGTCCGCGATCCGTGCCGTGTCTGGGTGTCTATCAGGGGCTTCTTCGCGGTCGTCCCTGTGCCCTCGGCCCGATGCCAGGACGTCAGCTGGCGACAATCCGGTCAGGACTCAACGCCAAGGTCAGTGTCGGGCACAGAGAGGAAAGGGACCTCGACCCGGCTCAGGCAGGCCTAAGAGTTCGCGCCCGGACCCCCTTGACTCCCTGGAGGCCCCGGGCGGTCGCGGAGGCCGCGACGAAGCTCCCGGA